AACATTTCTGCTAAAGAGCGGGCAAAGCAGTACCCCGATGTCTTTCACGAAAGTGGGGGGAAACTATTCTGCACCCCGTGCAACTGTGTGTTGGAGCATACGTCTGAGAGAAAGTCGACGGTGACGACCCACTTTGATTCATTCAAACATTCGAAAATGGTTCTGCTGCTGCGGACAAGAAAGCCAAACAACTCACGTTCACCGAGGGATCAACCTCCAAAACCCTTTCGAGGGCTACAAGAAACGAAGTGAGTAGCCTACAAGATTGAAGCTGCAGATAACGAACGAGTAAATGAAAACAGAATGAGGCGGAGAAGTGTGTGTGAGAGAGAGAGAGTGTGATTAAATCAGCCCCATTGCTTTTACAATAAATAAACATTGAATGTGTTTAATTGAATAGTAAAGGGGTTTAACGTTAGTGGCAGGTTGTGTGTGAGAGAGAATAAATAAGACAGCCCAATATTTAAAAAAAAAATCGATAATTCTTTTTCGCATATTTAGCATAATTCGCAACTTTCCGCATATTTTGCAACTTCCCGCAGTTTCACCGCATAAAATCACATAAAACCCCGCATGTTTTATCGCATAATCAAGGATTTTAGCCCGCGTTTTTCTGGAGGGTCTAATCAATAAACATTAGAAAGTGGTGCTCCTGACTACCATACAAGTTTAAGAAGATAATATTGGTTTTAAAGAATTCAAAGCTATAAACAGCAACAGGCTCTTTAACCAAGGCACTGTTAGCCTAACATGTAAACTAGTTGTTCACACTCAATATGTTTTAAAAAATAAAATAGAATTTGCTAATATTAAGTGATAATATTAGGATTAGTGTGAACAACTAGTTTACATGTTAGGCTAACAGTGCCTTGGTTAAAGAGCCTGTTGCTGTTTATAGCTTTGAATTCTTTAAAACCAATATTATCTTCTTNGGGCTATTTCATCGTTATCAGAAAATGATCATATAGGGCACATACGGAGCCGTTGGACCCCCAGAGCGTTGCGTATGCCGGTCTACCCACCTTGGGAGCCGTTACCTTAGTCGTTTAGTCCCCCCACACACACACACACAGAGCGGAGCAAGGCAGCGAAACTTAAAATAAGAAGCAGCATTTTATACGGCGCGCTATGCATGGGGCCGCCTTGTGGGGTTTCCCGACATGTCGTTTCAGTAAATTAAAGGGTGTTTCATGTTGTCGTTGCTGTGAACCTTCTTAATACCTTGGAAAATGCCGTTTAATACTTTTTAATACTTTTTAATAGCCTTAATTTTCGCTAAATTGATTTATCAACTTTTAGTACTTTTTAAGATCCCGCGGACACCCTGTTTTTACTTCTAATTCTTACATGTTGAACACAAATACCTGTACTTTCTACTTCTTACACTTTGAACACAAATACCTATACTTTCTACTTCTTACATGTTTAACACAAATACCTGTACTTTCTACTTCTTACATGTTGAACACAAATACCTACTTCTACTTGATGTATTTTAATAAATGTTAACTTGGCCCATTATGTGTCTATCCAAAGATAGAAAAAGTTTGAGAACCACTGATGTAACGAGTGATGTAAAGTAGGCTAACTAAGATTTACTCAAGTACTGTACTTAAGTATTTAAATGTTTTGCTTTGTACTTCTCCTCCACTACAGTTCAGAAGTAAATGGTGTACTTTTACTCCACTACATTTATTTAATAGCTTTAGTTACTTTACAGCTGGTCCTCCTACCTGAGCCACGGAGGGTGACAGCCGGGAGGAGGAGGCCATCATACCGAAGGGGTTTTCCCCGCCCTTCCCCGCCTTCAGGCCAGAGATCTTGAAGATGGCACTGGGCTTCTCGTTGGTGATGAAGCCGAGCAGCTGCCACACCGCGCCGCCGCCCGAGGGGTCCGGGAAGGAGAAGTGGACCGCTCCTCCGGTACCGGCGGGGAACGGAACCGTGCCCAGCATGAACACCACCACGTGGTTCACCTTCTCATAGTCCGGCAGGTTGAACACGAACTTGTCCGAGGCGACTTGCAGCGCGTCTGTCTGCACCAACCTGCCGGCCACCAGACAGCCGAACATCCCTCTGCAGCTGCTGGAGGATTCGCCGTTAGCTTCGCTGTTAGCCTGCCTGGCTTCAGCCCCTCCTAGTTATTTAAAAACCCAGCAGCACGCGTTATCCGGTAAAAGGCAGAGACATGACTCCCGCTGCCGGTGATGTTGATCTTAAAGACAGCTGTTACAGCCCGGTGGAAACTTCTAGTACAGTGTGGTGAAGTGCTGTAATGCTCGACTATCGATTATGCGTCCTGATAACTGTCCACTGTGTTTACTGTACTGAGTTCAATGCAAAGGGTTAATGTAGCCCTTTATTTAGACTGACAGGCAAACCTTACTCCCTGCAGAGCAAAGACATTATGGGATGTGACCAACAGCTTTCTGAACATTCTGAGAAGTCAGAACTCAATTTATTCTAAACTTAAGTCAAAACCCAACATAAACATTTTTCTTTTTTACAAAGATCAGTGGACTATATTACAATATCATTGTATTGTTATTTGTTAAGTCTTGTAATTGCATTGTTGAGTTTCATTCATTACATAACTACACCTTAGTTGTGTATATGATATGACAATAAACCATTTGAATTTAAAATGTATATAACTTTATTTATCAGTTTTGCAAAACAAGCTTAATAAGCCTTCATGAAAAAAGTTATTAGCATAACATCTTATTAAATTATTTTACCAGAATCAGAATAGCTTTATTTATTACATTCATTATAATAATGGTCAATTAAACTAAGCTAATGCCTTAAAATTGTCAGGTTTTGTATTTATACATATTTATTTTTATAAATAATAAATAACTACTTTTGCTGCAATGGTCACTCGAAAGGTCTTTAGTTTGACACTGGGAGAATGAGCTCATTGGGCTGCTGATCACCATAAGCTAAACAGTCTGTATATTGCACTACATTTGTATGATGTAAGCTTCGTTGATACTTTGCCTGCGGGAGTAAGAAAAAAATAGTTAGATATACCGGATATTATTTGATCTATTCCACCACTAGCTTAATCCCAAATAATGTAGAGGTGTGTTGTAGGTGCCTTAAATAACCCCTTATTTTATAGTGAGATGTATTTGCATGTTCATATAATAGCGATTTCAATGCCACCCCAAAATGATCACTGGTTCCATCCTGGCCACCCCACTGAAATTGTCCTGGCCCAGAAGCTACTTCACTGGTTTGATGAGGGTGGGCCATAGTATGCGTGTTTCGCCTGGGAGACTTTATGCAGGGCACATTTCGCCCTTCTATTTGTTGTGAGCCGCGAAGGCGCTCGATGACTCGGTTATCGACTTGGTACCACCAGCGGGATGTCAAGAAAGCTGGAGACCGGAAGTGAAAATCCTAAACAATAAAAGCTAACATTTCGAGAGGCAAAACAATACTACACAAATCAGCTGAAATGAAAACGCCTTTTAAGAATAAAGTGATGGAGAAGCTAGGAAAATAATCGAATAATTGATTTAGTAAGAAGAGTGATTTTGAGACTGTACCACAGTGTGAAATAATCTGAATTTCACCTTGATTAAAGCTACGTTTGATGCAGCGCCATATAGAGAGAATATTCTATATTCTATTATATGGCTCTGGTTTGATGGAAACCAACTTGATTTGTTTGGGGTTCAATATCTTTGGGAATTATTGCAAGATTGTCCATAGCAGTGTAAAAAAAGTGTCTGGTGACAAATAAAGAGGGTCACATTCCTCCATTTCTTCTAACATGTGTTGTGTTTGGGGTCAATAAGGAAATACTGCCCTTCCAGTGTCAGCAGTCCAAAGGCTTGCTGTTGCCTCTCCTTTTGATTCGTACACTCCGGACAAAATGAGCAACAAAGTGTGGGCTTGCAAGTGGGTCCAACCCCTTCTAAATGTGCCACTATGCGCCCCCTCTAAATCCATCATCTCAAGTATATCCTTCTCATTGATGGTATGATGAAGAGCTCCAATGCTGACTTCATGTCTGACAGCGTATGTTGTGAGGCCTGGAACCATTTTCATGACATTAGACGCACTAAAGCTACTCCGTTGTTCAAGAGAGGAGCAGAACCATGATAACTTTACATGTTTTGGAAAGTGTCTGCTTGTGTTTGAGAGACAACAGGAGCATCTGCTCTGGGGTCTCCTTGTCATCAGAGGACGAATCCTCATAATCAGAGTCCTCCTCAACATTATCCTCTGGCTCAGACACTGTCTCTTCTTTGTCACTTTCACTGTCAAAGAGCTGTGACAAAACAAAACTCTGCTGAGAGAAAAACCTTTTCTTCAAAGGTAATGTTCGATTGAGAGAGGGACATAAGAGGAACCACACAGAGCACCAAGAGAAAAGGTTCAGACGGATGCTATGCAAGCTTTAGCATGTTTGCCCCTCCCCTACGTTGTGTAAACTAAATGTCCTCACAGGAACCAAATGTCCCATGTTGCTGGAAATATCAGAGTTCTCGCAATTTCCCACATCCACCACAACAGGGGCAGTTCTAGGGTTGGGCCAACGGGGGCCAGTGCCCCCCTAACACTGACTTTGGACCCCCTGTGGCCCCCCTGAAAATCAATAGATTATGATTAAACGATTTCTTGGCTGACGGAATAGGCGGAACTAACGTCATTTGTCATTCTAGTCGGACACACGTAAAAACTGTAACTATAAGTATCTGAAAAAAATATGTATACTGAAACAAATACCAATAACTGTATTGCATTGTTTTCTTATGCACAATTACTTCATACTGTCTTTGTCTTTTTCGTCCTGCATTTATTGGGCCCCCCTCAGAAAATAACTGGCCCCAGCCTGGCCCCCCCAGTCAATGTCTAGAACCGCCACTGTATTGAAGTGACTGTTATTTTGTATATATTGATTGTTGTGTCTTTTATCTAAATGTGTGCATATGTGTTAATGTGTCTGTTGATTGTGTATATAGGATATACATATTTATACATATTTTTATACATATCTATATTGTATAATTGTATTTTTGTATTCGGGATTGTGGGAAACGGTATTTCGATGTACACACAAACTGAAAGATTTACATTAAAGTTGACTTTATGTACATTTACACAGTGACCTTTGACCTCTGTATTTAACCCCTCCTAGCACTAGGAGCAGTTGGCAGCTGCCTTGCTCAAGGGCACCACAGCAGGGCCCAGGAGGTGAACTGGGACATCTCCAAGTACCAGTCCACACTCCCTAATTGGTTCTGGACTTTAACCGGCCACCCTCTGGTTCCCAAGCCGAGTCCCTACAGACTGAGCTGCTGCTGTCCGTTACTCTCCTTGATAATAAACATTAAGATTTGATGGTGAGTTATATATCTTTGGATGGTCACATAATAGGGAGTCTGGATGTATAATGGGGGGGGGGCATGTTTTATTTAAATATTTATCTAGGTAGTCAACAAAGAAACATAAAACACCAGAAACACATCTTTGTAAGAATTTTGTGATCATTTTCTTGAGCTTTAAACGGCGGCGCTCAAAATGAGCCCCAAGGATCAAAGGAAGACAAAAGTGAAGTCTCTGTTCTTTAATGTGAAAGTGAAGCGTCTCTGGCTGTCCGTCACTTTGGATCTGAGTTCAGTTTAGTCGTTTGTTACCCTCTTATTTTCCAAGTGCTCTAAAGGTTTAGTAAATCAAAGCAGCATTTACTTCTTGTAGGAGCCATCTTTGGGTGCTGTTGGTGTGTCAGTTTATTTATTTATACGTATAGTGCAATATTATTTTTGAACACTTGGTGGCGGGGTTTAGCTTCACCGGGTGTATATAAAGAGGTCATAGGTGACAGGAAGGGTAAGGACACAGGAGGAAGAGAGCATACCAGCTACATGGTTCATGTAGACGAGGATCGTTCCCCGGAAGTTCATGGCGGGCAATGTGAATGCATTGATAACAGGAGATAGAACTACGATTTTTGTGAGACTGCCCAAGG